GCCGCCGCGGCGGCCTCAATGAAGCGTGAGAGGGCCTGGCTGGCGGCGTGGCGAAAGGCCAGGTCATCTGTGGGTGGGGTGGGAGCGGGGGGCGGGGTGGTGTGGGTGAGTATGCGTGGGTGGGTGTGGGTGCGTGGGTGCGCTGGTTGTGGGGTTGGAAGCGTGGCAGTCTGGCAGCGATGTGAGGCGTGTCCAGCGCTTGGCACTCCATTTCGGTTCTTTCCACCAGCCCCTCCCTTGCCCCAGCAGGCCGGCTCACCCGCGTTGCGCAGGTCGTGCAGGCAGGTGTGCAGCAGCGGCGCGGCCTGCCGCTGGCTCAGCGGCTGCCAGGCAGCGGGGGTGAGGGCGGCGTAGGCGGCCATGCGCCGCCCATAGTCCAGCTCATCAATCTGCAGGTACGCCAGTACCATGCCAGATAGCGACGCCAGGTCAGCAGCAAGGCTACGCCCCCCAGCAGCCAAGTGGCGGCGGCCTCCCCGCCCATCCCACAACAACGAAACGAAGCCCGCCCGCACACAGCACAACCATGCACGGACGCACAACACACACTAGCTAACACACTGGCCAACAGCGCCCCACAGCCGCCCCACCTCGCTGGCAGACACAGCGTTGAGGTCAGCAAGCAGCCGCGCCGCCTCCGCCAGATCAGCCAGCATGCCCGCCACCGCGGTGAAGGCGGCACACAGCGCCAGCCTGCGCGGCGCGCCACCCAGGCACATGGGAACGGCAGGCGGGCGTCAGCAGGGCGCGGGCGGCCGGCGGGGCGGCCGGTGCGGTGCAGACGCAGGGAGAGACCTGTAGAGCAAAGCGGCGGCTGGCTGGAAGCTGGCTGGCAGCTGCCTGGGTGGCAGCTGCGCGTCTCCGCCCTCACCTGGCATCGCGAGCCTGCAGGTTGCCTGCCAGCGGCGCCAGCGCCGCCGCCACCGCCACCAGCTGCTGGCGCGCCGCGAGGCGCTGGTGCAGCTCGGCTGGAGGCAGGCGGGACCACAGCGCGCCCAGCACCGCCAGCGTGCGTGCCACCAGCTGCTCGTCGCCCTTCCCCTGACGCCGCCGCCCGCCCGCGCCCTCCCTCGGTTGCAGCAGCGGCAGCAGAGCGTCTGTCAGCTGCTGCGCCGCCTCCCAGGAGGCTACCCGGCCGCCCACCAGCTCCAGAATGGCCAGGGCGCGGCTGGCGGTGGCAGTGCGCGGCCCCGCAGGCTTGCCGCTGCCGGCCTTGCCCCGCTGCGGGGCCTTGCGCCCGCGCGCCGCCCGGCCGCCGCCGGTGCCCTGCTGCCACACTGCGGCACACGCGACAGGAGGGGAGGGAGGGTGAGGGGTCGTGGCCAGGACACAGAGGGGCCGCCAGGCAAACGCCAGCAGCACATCACGGGAGGCACCCTCAAACGAACAGCCCTGTTCGTACACAGCCAGGCCGGCTCCATGCCACACATCCACCCACTCGGCCACACTCGTTCAGTCCCCACCACACCACAGACACACAAAAGTACTCCCGCGCGTGCGCGCACACTCACACACACACACACACGCGCGCGCGCGCGCGCGCGCCAGCCCACCTGCCACCACGATGCTCTGCAGCCCGGCCAGCAGGGCGGGCATGTGCGGGCCCAGCACCTGCTGCGGCAGCGGGTCCGCCAGATCAAAGAGGCTTTCCAGGGCGCCCAGCATGGCCACCCGCGACGGCTCCGAGCAGCGCGGCGCGCTCAGCGCGCCCACGCAGCACGCCAGCAGGCCGCTGCCCAGCCGCCGCTGCGCGGCCCAGGGCTCGGCGCACGGCGCCACCTCTGCCGCCGGCGCCGGTGCCTCTGGCTGCCCGCCCCCGGCCGCCGCTGGCACGGCGCTGGTCCGGCCGTCTGCCAGGAGCGGCACCAGGTGTGGCGAGGCCGCCAGCGCAGCCGTCAGCTCGATCAGCGGCGGCGCCTTGTCGGCCGCGCTCTCCGCCGCCAGGCGCGGCAGCAGCGGCTGCGCCGCCGCCAGCAGGCGCGGCCAGAGGAAGGCGTAGTCGCAGCTGGCCGGGAAGCGGTCCAGCACCGCGGCCACCAGACGCAGGCTGCGCCCTCGGACCTCCCTGGCCCCCTCCGCCGCCTCCGCGCCGGCCTCGTCCCCGGCGCCAGCCTCCACCAGCAGGGGCTGCACGCCGCCCTCCAGCAGGCACACAGCCAGGGCCAGCAGCTCCGGCAGGAACACCTGTAGGCAGGCGGCGGGCAGCGGGCGGGGCGAACGTGAGTGTATGCTGGCGGCGAGGTTTGAGTACCTGTACCGTGTCTCATTGGGCAGCGTGTGTGCGCGTGTGCACGGTGATGTCATGATTATGTGATCATGCACGTGCGGTACAGGTGGCGGGGGATGCGGTACCAGCCGCCCCAGCAGCACCCACCTGCATGCGGTGCCCCAGGTGCTTCAGCAGGTCCTCGAGCGTGTTGAGGTAGCCGATGCGCCGCCGCAGCGGCTCCCCGTTCAGCGCGGCGGCGTCGACGTGGGCCAGCCACCAGGCGCCCGGCTGGCGCCCCAGGCAGCGGCCCCACCAGGGGCCCTCTATCAGCCTGCATGGGGCAGCGAGCATGTGCGTGTGCTTGGTTTTCAAACATGGGGTGGGGTGGGTGGGGGGTGAGGGTCTAGAGTAAATGCGGCAGCCCTCTGCCTCCTCCTCCGCCTCGCCGGCGCGGCCAGAACCCCGCCCACCTGTGTGCATCCGGGTCGTCCTGCGCCACCAGCTGCTGCAGCAGGGCCTCGCCTGCCTCTCCCGAGGGCCGCACAAAGGCGGCGGAGAGGGGCATCAGGAACAGCTCCAGCAGCGGGCGCAGCTCGCCCGGCTCGGCGGCTGCCAGGAAGTTGAGGATGGCGGCGCGGGCGGAGCCGGGGGCACCTGCGGTACCATGGACGGTACCGTGGCAGCGGAATGCATGAGCAGCAGGTAAGGGACAGCTGGAAAGGGGGGCCGCTCAGCAGGCACGTCGTGCGCCCAACCCCAGCCCAAGCCCAGGGATGGCTCCTTGAGGCGCCCAGCCCACCGCCGTGCCTGGGCTGGGCGCCGGTGCCAGCAGCCACCCACTCCCTCACCCTTGCCGCCCAGCCTGCCGCTGCGCTTGCGCATCTTGGGGAAGAGCAGGCGGATGAGCAGAGGCACCACGCCCGCGCGGTGCTCCGCCAACAGAGCCAGCTTGCCCTCGTCCTCACGCAGCGACGTGGCCCTGCGGCGGCGGCGCGGCGGCGAGAGGCACAGCGGAAGCGTCGGGACCGAGCCGTCGCAACAGTCGAGGCAGAGGCACACACACCAAGCACACGCAGCGAGATATGCACGGTGAGAGCAGCCAGGAGGTGGCTGCATGGCCTGCCGCGCCGCCGCCATGCCGCGGCTGGCAGGGCGGCGGCAGGGCTGCGCCTGCGCCTGCGCCTTGTCCCGCCCACCTGGCAGCCAGCGGGAAGGCGGTCAGCTCCTCCCTCAGCGTCTTGTTGTCGGCCAGGCGCAGCAGGCGGTCGAGGTAGGGCAGCAGGAACTTGAGCTTGAAGACCTGAGGGGCGGTACAGGCAGGCACAGGCAGTACAGACGGCTCAGGAGGCTCAGGAGGTACAGGATGCGAACAATGGTCGCTTGCCCACCGCCCGGCGGCGGTTCCAGGCAGGGCAGCAGGAGCAGACAAGCAGCCGGCGGCAAGAGCGGCGGCTCCAAATGCCAGATGCCAGACGCAGATGCGGCGGCTGGCAGCGGGAGCGGGACCGGCGGCGGTACCTTCAAGCACTTGAGCGCCCCCTGCTGGATGGTTGGGTCCACATCCATCAGCTGCACCGCCACCGCCCTCTGCAAGGCATGGAGGGCAGGGAGAGCAGTCAGGAAGCAAGGCCAAAGCGCGGGCGCAACCGCACAGCACAGCACAGCTCAGCGCAGCTCAGCACAGCTCAGCACAGGGCGAGAGGCATGCGCAGAGGGTGGGGTTTGGGCTGCTCCACACGCAACCGCCCCAGGCAGGCGCAGGTGCGGGCCTGCTGCCGGCCAGCTGCAGGCCAGCTGCCCGCCCACCTGTACCGTCTCCCAGCGGAACATGCCGCGGGCGCCCTTCAGGCCCCCAAGCATCGCCAGCCACTCGCGCAGCGCGGCGCGGTACGGGCGCCCCGACACCAGGCCGCCGCCGCCGCCGCCGCCGCTCCTCTGCCGCTCGTCGCCGCCCTCCCCATCCTCCACCTCCCCCTCCGCCTCCTCCTCCTCCTGCTCGTCTTCCGCGCCTGCGGCAGCCCTGGCTGGGCTGCCTGCGGCGCCGTCGCCGCTGTGGCCCTCTTCGTCGGCTGAGGGGGAGGCGGCGGTGAAGGCGAGGAAGAGAGGCACCCAGTCGCGGGCCCTGCTTTCCACCACGTTATTGTTGGCAGCTGCCAGGGCCTTGAGCAGGTGCGCCAGCCGCACCGCGGCGTCGGTGCTGCCGCCCACCGCAGCCGCCTCCCCGCCGGCCGCCGCCGCCGCAAAGCGCGGCCCCAGCGCCCGCGGCGCCTGCTGGGAGGCGCCGGCACCGCCGCCGGCGGCGGCCAGCGCTGCCGCGGCCGCCTCTGCGGGCCGAGCCTGGCAGTCCCCAGCCAGGAAGGCCTCCTGCGCCGCCGCCAGCTGGCGGAGGATGAGGGGCCAGGCGACCTTGGGGTAGGCGTCTAGGGCGGTGGCCAGGGCATCGTGCGCCGGGTTCCACAGCCCAGCAAACCTGCAGCGGCAGGCGCGGGGCAGGCAGCGGGCAGCGGTGACCACCCTCTCCCGCTCGCCGCGCCCTGCCGCGCCGGTCCCTGCCGACCCGGCCCGCCCGCCAGACCCCAGCTTTGCGCAGAACAGATGCGCACTAGATTTGAAAAAAAAGAGGCCGCCCTGCCACCCTCTCGGCCTCTCAGCCACCCGCTGCCCTCCTGCCAGCCCACCTGATGTGCAGCACACCCAGCAGGGCGTGTACCACGGGCGGTACCATCCAGTCGGGCAGCCGCCGGTACTCCAGGTAGTTGCGCATGCGGCCCAGCGACACGATGGCGGGCCTGCCGCCGTCCGACCCCCGCTGCCGGCTCTCGAGCGCCAGCAGCTGCTGCAGCGCGTCGCAGGCGGGCTGGGGCACACCCCTGGCGGCATCCTCTGCGGGAACGGTAAGGTAGGGGCGAGGAGGTGGATAGAGAGGTGCGGCGGACAGAGAGATGGAAGTCTGGGGGTGGGGCGTCGAGCGGCGGCGGCTTCGGCGGCATCGGCGGCGGCGGCGATGCCGGCTGGCGCAGGGAGCAAAGGCGCGTGCCTCACCTGATCCGGCTGGCGCCAGCATGGCGGGCATGGGGAAGCAGCACAGCGCGCGCAGCGTCTCCCGCCGCAGCGGCTGGCTGGCGGCCGACAGGTTGGGCGCCAGCAGCGGCGCCAGCTGCTGCAGCTGCTGCTCTCCCAGCTGCGCGCCAGCTGCCGACGCTGCCTGCAGCACCCCCGCGGCTGCCGACACCGCATGGAAGCTCCGCGGGTGGCGGGCCAGCAGGGCCAGTGCACGCGGCAGCAGCTGCTGCACCACCTGGCCGCCGCCCTCGGCGCCGCCGCCGCCCAGGAGCTCCGCATGGGCTGCCAGCGCCCGGCAGTGCAGCATGAGCGTGGTGGCGCCGTCGCCGCCGACGCCACCAGCCTCCTGCGCCCTCTCCTGCTCCTCCTCCTCCTCCTCAGCAGCAGCAGCAGCACCACCACCACCAGCGGCAGCGGCAGCGGGCTCGGTGGCGGCCGCCAGCGCGGCGCAGCACACCGCCGCCTGCGTGGCGTTCTCCGAAGCGTGGGGCAGGCAGGCCAGCGCGGCCCAGGCCTCCGCCGCGGCCGCCTCCCCGCCGCCGCCGCCGCCGCGGCCGCCTACAGCGGCCTCCATGCGTGCGGTGCTGCGAACCAGCGCCGCCAGCTGCGGGCCCACCCCTGCTGCGGTGAGGATGACTGGCACCCCAGCGCTGCCCGCAGCGGCGCCGGGGCGCAGCGTGCAGCACACATCCATAAGTAGCGGCCAGCACAGCTCGCGGTGCTGCCCTGCAGCAGGGGAGGCAACGCAACACAACCACAGGCCGGCAGGTGCACGGTTTGGTTGCTGGAGCTCCAGTGCTGAAGGCAAGCACCGGCAGCTTCCCTCCCTGCATCACTTAAGCTGCCCTCCGCGGCAGCGGCCGCCGCCGCGCCGCCATGGGCATAGCCCGCCGCTCCTCGCTCACCCGCCAGCAGGCAGCGTCCCAGCGTCCCCAGCATCTGCTGCCCGAAGATGCGTGCCAGGTCGTAGCCGCCGGGCGGGGTGATGACGGCGCGGATGAAGGCCAGCAGCTGGGCTGGCGGCGCGCGGGCAAACACGGGCGCCCACTGCGGCGCGGCTTTGCCGATAGCGGCGGGGCCCTCGCTGGCGCCTGCCGTCTTGGCGTGGGCTAGTGTCAGCGCCAGCAGGAAGCGCAGCACCTGCGGAGCATCAAACAGGCAAGGCACAGTGAAGAACAGCAACAAGCAGGGTGTGGCAGGCAGCACGGCGGCGTGACACGACAGCAGCACACTAGCTAGCCAGCATGTAGCAGGGTGGGGACTCAGGCCTGCATGCAGCAGCACGCACGGCGCGGCATGCACCTGGGCAGACAGCGGCGGCTCCAGAAAGTCGGCACACACTGCGCTGGCGCCGTACGGCAGCGCCTCCGCCTGCGCCTCGCCCTCCGCCTCCCCGGCCGCCGGGCTGCCCGCCTCGCCGCCGCCGCCGCCGCCCACAAACTCGGGCCGCGCCAGGCGGGCGGCCAGCCTGAACAGGGGGGTGTAGCTCTCCACGCGGCAGCCCCGGCCGTGCTCGACGAGCTGGCTGAGCAGGGCCACACCCCGTGCCGCGCTGTTGGCAGCCGCCGCCAGCCCCTCTGCGCCTGCCGCACCGGCCGAGGGGCCGGCCGCCGTGCCGACCGCCGCGCTGCCCTTGCGGCCTCTCTTGGCGCCGACGCCGTTGGCGGCGGCAGGTGCCTGCTGCGCCTGCTGTGCCGCCTCCAGCCGGTCCAGCCTGCCCTCCACCTCCCCCAGCACCAGCTGCCACAGCTCGCCGCACTTCCCCCGCCGCGTGTGCTCCGCCAGCTGCTGCAGGCACACGGAGGCCGCCGCCGCCAGCCGCGCCTGGATCTGCTCCGCCGTCAGCTTGCCGCCCTGCGCGCTCTGCAGCAGCAGGAGGCAGCGACGGCGGCAGCGAGGTGAGCTAGCGGCGGAGGCGCACCCTGGCAGAGGCCCGAAGCGCCAGCTATGGGCCGCTTGCTGCGGCACAGACTGGGGCCTGCGCTGCACGCTCGCGTGCTCGTCGGCAGCATCCGCCCACCCACCCAGCAGCCCGCCCACCCAGCCACCCGCCAGCCGCCTGCCCACCTTTGCCGACTTGAAGTCCTGGGGCCTCAGGATGTCCTCCCGCAGCATCTGCCCCAGCACCGCCGACGCGCGGCTGTGCAGGCCGTGAGACACGCCCAGGGCCGCCTCTGCCAGCAGGGCGCCCGCGGCGTGCAGGCGCTCGTCCGAAGGCCTGGCCGCCGCCTCCGCCAGCACCGCCTTGACGCCGACGCGGATGGCGGGGGCGGAGGCGTGCCTGAGACGGGGGGCAGGCGGTGCACGCCATAAGCAGCGCATGAGCAGCGCATGAGCAGGCACGCCAGCACCAGCAGGGGCCAGCGCAGGACGACATGGCTGGCCGGCCGCCTGCTGCTGTTTCTTCCGGCTGCCTCGACGGCGGCCACCCGGCGCATGCCCGCCAGCACCAGCCCATCCGCCAGCCAGCTGGCACTGCGCCGCCAGCCGGGCCAGGGCCCCACACCTGAACAGGAAGCCCAGCGCCTCTGCCGCCAGTGCTCGCACGTGCTCGGCGCGGTGGTGGCGCAGGCGCTGCGTGCCGCGCAGCGCGCCCAGCAGCTGCTGCTCCCCTGCCAGCAGCTTGGCCAGATGCTTGCAGATGAGGGACAGGCAGGCAAACAGGTGCTGCAGCTGCTCCGGCTCCCGATCCAGCCCTGCACCCGGCAGCGCACGCAAGGCGAGGCACATCAGGGCAAGCAGCGGCTCAAGACGGCACGCAGCGGGACAGGCAGGGAGAAGCTCATCCCCAGGCAAGCTGGCGGCACGATGTCACCCTCGGCACCCTCCCTCCGCCCTCCTCACTCGCTCAAGCTGCCGTCCCTCCCAACCACCGGCCCCAGCCGGCCGCCCTGTTATGCTGCCATGCCGCCGCACTGCCCACGCCTGCCGACCAGCCCACCTTCGTCCACCAGGTCTGCCAGCGCATCCAGCACGCGCGGCAGCGCGGGCAGGAAGTCCTGCTGCAGGTCTCTGGCCAGCGTGCCGGTCAGCTCCAGCAGCGGCTCCAGGCTGAGCGCCGCCTCCATGCGCAGCCCGCCCAGCAGCACCCCCAGCAGCTCGTCGCGGTGGTGCACCAGCTGCGGCAGGCTCTGGCTGAGCGGCGTCAGCGCCGCCGCCGCCGCCAGCCAGTGCTCGGCCGAGCACAGCTCGCGCCACTTGTTGAGAGCCTCCTGGAAGAAGCTGGTGTTGCCCGGCAGCGGCTCGGCGCGCTTGGGTCCCAGGCTGCGGTACACATCCACATCCACCTGCACGCAGAGGAGCAGGCGGGAGGTGGGCGAGCAGGGGAGAGGGCTGGCGGCAGGCGGCGTGGCGGCGGCGGCGCCGGAGGCGGCGGCGGCTGCAGCCAGGTGCGCGCATGCATATGCATCGGCAAACGCACCTCGGCCACTCGCTGCTCGAAAGTCTTGAAGCGGAAACGCTTCTGCCGCTTGGCCTTGGGTGCAGCCTCATCGCGGTCGCTGTCGCTGTCCATATTTGCGCCTCAATCTCCGACTCTAGTGGGCCCACGCTGTCATATGGGAGGGCTCCGGCCGCTTCTGGTTCACATACACATGCAAGTCCTCTGGTGAGCAGCGGCTGGTGAGTAGCGGCAACAGCTCGCAAGGTAAGAATCCAGCAGTGAATGATTTTGGGCCCGTGCTCAGTGCAGCTCTGCAGACTGCCGAGCTGGCGCGGGTGCGGCGGCCACGTGGCGTGGCCACAGACCGCTGACAGAGAGTGCTGACAGCCAGGGCGCCTCAATACAAATGTGCAAGCCAGTAAAGCCATCTCTTGGGTTCCTGCACATGACCCTCCCTGGGCGCGGTGCCAGCGGCAGATGCGCCCGCCTGGAGGAGGCGCTGTCCCGCCGCCTGGTGGCGCTGCCGCATGCAGCATTTCAGCATGTGCATCGAAGCACCCAACGCGCAACGCATTGTTCCACCGTGATCCACACCTGGAGCGCTTTTGGAGCGCTTCGGAGCTGTGGTTTTAGAGCTGCCTGTATTGCCCTCGGCGAGCAGGGTTGCTCGCAAGTGCTGTTGACATATTAGAGACCTGTATCAGCAACGCGCGGGTTTCGGGGCGGGAAACAGTGGCATCATGCTGGTGTCATGTCTCGTGCTGCTGCTGCTCACCCAGGTATCCCTTGCAAAGGTAGCCTAGGCAGTTTGTGTCGGAAGCCGACTGGTGGCCCCCGTCGCGGTCCGCCTCCAAAGTAAGCGGGCACGGCCGCGGCCGCCGGTGCTCGCCCCCCCCCCCCCCCACCTGCAGGCCGCGGCGGCGCCCCCTCCCCAGCAGCTGCCGCGCTGCCTGGACGAGGAGCAGCTGGCAGCGGTCGTGGAGGGCGCCCTCGGCCAGCTGCAGGCTGTTGCGGACCAGCGCCAGTCGCCCACCACCTTTTCAGAGTGGCCCCGGGAAAGGGCCGCGGCATCCCTCCCCGACTCGTTGTTCCCAAACGGCACAGACCCAGAGTCGGGGCAGTGGATCGGCACCAAGCCCAGCAGGTGGACCTCAGGTGCGCTGATGCTTTGGCCCCGATGAGCCGCTTCCTCTCCCCATTTGCTGGCTGGCCAAACTCCCTGGCCCGATCCCCATCCTTCCCCACCATTTATGCAGGCTACCTGGCTGGCTGCTACTGGCTGGCGTATGGAATGACTGGGGACCAGCGCTGGGCAGACCTGGCGGCTGCCGAGCTGCCCGGCTTGGAGCCGGTGGCCGCCGAGACAGACGTAAGACCGACCGCAGCAACTCTGCCATGAGTGGGCTGGCGGCAGATGCCAGCACAGCGTGGGAACCGGCCCACCCCCTCCAACACCTGCTGCCTGCCCGTCTGAAACTATCCTGCGTTCCCCACATTGTGTGTATGTGTGTGTGTGTGCGCAGAATCACAAGGTCAGCGACATTTTCGACAGCAGCTACGGCGAGGCGCTGAGGGCAGGGGTGCCGGGGGCTCCAGTGGAGGAGTACCAGCGCGTGATGCAGACGGCGGCAGCCTCTCTGTCAGCCAGGTGAGCACTTTGTTCCAGCCTGCAGCCTTGCCCTGCCTTGGTCCACGGCTGGTCCTGGCCTTGGGGTCCCGGCAGGCATTCACTTGCTGCTGCCTGCGTTCCTGCGCAGGTACAACGACAAGGTGGGGGCAGTACAGTCGTGGTACGACATCGGCGACGAGTTTGTGGTGAGAGGTGCTGCGCCTTGCTGCCGCTGCCCCGCCTTGCTGCCTTTGTGCAGCAGCCCCAGCTCCGCGAGTGCCGCTTCAGGGTGGCCGCCCAACCTACGACAACACCCACCTGCCCACCCAGCCTCACCTCCCCCTTGCCCCTTGGCCCTGCGCAGGTCATCATGGACAGCATGGCCGCCCTGAAGATCATGTTCGAGGCCGCGGCAATGCCGGGCGGCGAGCAGCGGTGGGCGGACGAGGCGTTGTCGCACTCGCGGCGCGTCGCCCGCGAGCTGTTCCGCCCCGGCGGCGGCAGCTACCACGGCGCGCGCTTCGACGCCGACTCGGGAGAGGTGGAGTGGCGGGGCACCTTCCAGGGCTACGCCGACAACAGCACCTGGTCACGGTGCGTGCCACGGTGCCTCCACCAGTGGTGGAGGCACGGCTCCCGCACAGCCACCAGCTCTGCTCTGTACCCCGCTTGCACATTCGCCTCGCCGGGAGCGTGTGGGAGGCTGAGTCTGTGCTGGTGGGGTGCTGACGCCAGGGTTCAGACGCTCCCGGGCGTGTGCAGGGGCCAGGCCTGGGCTGTGGTGGGATTCACACACGCGGCCAACATCACCGGGGAGCCCGACATGCTGGCAGCCGCCCGCCGCGCCGCCGACTACTTCATGCGGCGGCTGGCAGAGGCGGAAGACGGCGTGCCGCTCTGGGACTTTGATGTGCCGCCCTCGGCCGAGCAGGTGAGGCGTTGGCGGCGGAGGAGGAGGAGGCCAGGCCCGACTGGAGCGCCACGCTGGGCAGCTTGGCCGTGCCCTCTGCCCTCCCTCGGCCCCCAGCATGCCAGCCCAGCCGCCGAGTTGCCTTACCCCGCATTTACGCCACCTCCCCGACCCCTCAACCTCCTCACGTGCTCCAACCCTGTGCAGCCCTGGAAGGACAGCTCTGCCGCGGCCATCGCCGCCAGCGGGCTGCTGCGCCTGGGCGAGCTGAGCGGGGAGGAGCGGTACAGCGGCGCGGGGGCGGCCCTGCTGGCCTCCCTGGCGGGCGGATACCTTGGCTGGGAGGCGGGCCAGGGGCGGCAGCCGCTGGCCGCACTGCTGCGCAACGGCACCTTCAACGTGGCCAAGGGCTCACATTCCACGGGGCTCATCTGGGGGGACTATTACATCTTGGACGCGCTGGCCTGGGCCACGGCGCACAACCTGACCAGCAGCTGCGCCCCGCCAAGTTAACGCCGTGCCTGTCCCCACCTGTGGTTTTGAAACCCTGTGGTGTTGAAACACCTCAATCAAGACTGTCTGCCTTGGCAGCTAGTTGCTTGGGAGCCAAGCCACATGGCACGGCGGCATGGTGGCGGCGGCGGCGGCGGGCACTGGTTCAGAGCGCTCCAGCTGCTTGCGCAAGATTGACGCATCCAGCCGTAGGCAAAGAATTTGACACTCAAGTTTGTGCGGAATGTCATATGAAAATCGGTCGCCGAGCCGGTGGCCAAAAAGAAACAGACCTGGCCCATGCAAATGCGCCAGTCTGCTGTCCCGCTGGCACATTCCATCGCTCAGGTATATCGTTCAGGTCATCGTGAAGGGCCATACAACGCGAAACATGCTGAAGGCAGTAGCTCCCTGCACCAGTGCCGCGGCGGCCAGGCCCGCCTCCCGTGGCGCGCCACGCGCTCGGGGTCACACCGTGGTGCAGGTGCGTGTCATACGGTTCGCCGCGCCTGGCTGCTGTCTTGGCGGCTCAG